GTCCTGGGTTCGATTCCTCGCACGGGATCGGGTTGTCATGCTCGCTGACCTGGTTGACGCATGTCATCGTGTCCCAATTGCGTAGACCGATGCTCATGTTGTCGATTACTGGATTGTCTGATCCATACTCGAATATTTACAGTCCGCCGTCATATAGGTGGAATATTTGCCGAGTGCGACGTTGAACAACAAACCTGTGGTCTGTAAATAATCGAGTCTGGACCAGACAATCCAGTGATCAACATCATTAGCAACGACCTTACGCAATTGGGATGTGAAGACATGTGTCAACTAAGTCAGCGATACTGACCACCCGATCCCATGTGAGGAGTCTTACGACAAGCATGGGTTACTGAAGATCAATTCTAACCCGGATCATCCCGGGCCAGTTCTTGTAGGCCTTGAACCTCATGTACCCATTGGGATGTTGGGGGTGGGTGTGTGGGTGCTCGGATCTTCACGGGTCCATTACACTCGTTAGATCTCGTTACCCACAAACCTTTGTCTGCTTTGCCACGTCTATTTCTTAGAAATGCCTATAAAACCCACAATATCTCTCTTATTTAATCTTATTTGTGTTTTAATATGAATACAAAGTCCCATTTAAACGGAATTTCTATATATCCATTCAAACATTAAATTATAGTGGAAACATCATCACTCTAAATATATATACATGAAATTTGTTATTCAGTATTCACATACATATTTACAATTTATGATACAGACCGATTTCGGACTGGAGTTATGTACTGTGTAGACTGTATCAGACAGACAGACAGACATTTTATTCAGTAATAGGCCACTGGCCCAAAATACATTCATAAATATATAATAAGAAGTTACATGCGTTTTACCAGGGAGACTATATAATGTTGTAGATTATCCCTGGTTTTACACAAAAACATCAGAATCTCTTATTTTCCCAACATTATATAAAAATAGGCACAAATTATTTATAACATTTATGTTTTTTGAAGTCATTATGTTTATAAAACTGTGTTGTGAAATAGGATGTTTCAAATATTTACCGAGAAACTTATTCCTTATATCTAAGTAGGCTTTACAATAAAGTAAAACATGTATTTCATAGACTGTATCACAGTCCCCGAACCACATTATTTCCCCTACTGCCTAGCCCTACCTTCAATGCTTAACATTATTATGAAGCTAGTCTAGATTCCCTCAGGTTCTCAATTTCCCATCTGAATGGGGATCCTTTTAAATGCGTTTATTTGTTACTATCAAAATTATATATAATCAGAGACTGGGCGTTAGTCTATGTACATTGTTGTGAGGCACGTTTTCCAACCTTGTTGTCGACCATTGACTGACTCCCATCGCCGAAAGGCTCACAGAGTACAAGTTTTATTTCTTGTATTCGATGTTTACGATATCGAAGAACACAGGGGTAATAATCTCTATATTGACCGGCGATCTCCGAAGAGTGATAACAAACTCTTCAATGTATACAGTGAATATTTCATTAAGGAACAGCATCCCTGTTGCATCGTGACTGTCTGTAATCGAGTCTGGGCGAGGTCAACCAGTGGTTGATGTCATGAGCAACGATCCGCATCTGAAAGTTCATCAAATATCAGCATGGTCAAACATGGTCAAACATGGTCACAACATGCACCCTCATTATATGTTGTCGGCACACTGGAGTGAGTGAGTAAGGTTTTACGCCGCTTAATTTAAGCAATATTCCAGCAATATCACGGGGGTTGGGGGGACATAAGAAATGGGCTTCACACATAGTACCCATGTGGGGAATCGAACCCGGGTCTTTGGAGTGACGAGCGAACGTTTAATCACTAGGCTACTCCACCGACACGGCACACTGGAGGCAGAAAACACATTTCGAAGGAGCGCGATACAAGTTCCTGCACATGCTGGTTATAGGGTTCCATATACAAGTGTCACTCACCAATTTACCTCACCTATTTAGGCCTAATCCTTATCCACACTCCTTTCTTCAGGCAACACCAATGAGCTTAATCAGGCCCTCCTATCTATGTGATGAAAAAGCGTTAAATGAGATCATAATGATGGCGTATTGGTAGCATAGCGTCTGTATTGCTATCTAATGCAGTTCATATACGAACAAAAAGAGGTACTATCGGATTTGACAGCGGCTGTTAGCGGAATACGCGTACAGCCGCTATGCGAAACTCGGTAAAATGCAGCGGAATAACTTCGACTGTATCCGTGAAAAACCGATCGTAGTTGAATTACAACACCATTTATGTTAATGTCGATGTGTTGTTAATACACGTTCAGCCAATCAGCCAATCAACTGGAGAGCCGAGATACAGGATGCCGGTTTAGAGAGCCTTAATTACTGTACAAACAGTCAATCGGGTGTTCTTTGTTGTGCCGAAATACGGAATAGACTGACGCTGGATTAGAGGGCGTGTAAATGATCATAAATTAACTAGCTTCTGCCGGGACCAAATTCAAGTGCCGATACTGGAGCGCACGCCGGATTGGAGGGCTGCCGGTTTAAAGAGCTTCCACTGTACTGAGCTGGGTATACGTTGTTCAAGACGCGGGGTCCATTGGGCAGAAGGTCTAGGGTAATCATATTGAAGCTGTATCTCAGTTGGGCAGCATTCATAAAACTGGTTAGCACCAGCAGCCACTCACACACATACACACACGCATGTGTCCCCATAAACGCAATAATCGTGAACGCCACATTAAACCATATGATATATAACACATTTGTACCGCACCTAATATCTCAAAAGTGCTCAGTGTCTCTAAGGACAAATTATGCGCAATCCGCAGACATTATTACCCTTCTGAAACGCTAGAAGGTTAAACGTCCATCTTATCCCACCGGGTACCCATTCACTGTTGGGTGAACAGAGGCCATTTTGAACAACTTTACTGATTTGTGACTTTCGCCCTATGCACAAGACACGCCCACCACAGTTTGTTAACGCTTGCTCGTGATGACGTAGCTGCTATGTGAAATGTGGCTGAACACCGTGTTCAGCACATGCGTAGCGCAGATACGAGAAGTCATGTTGTTTTTCTATTTTTGTGTAACCCGCGAATCCGGATTAGACTTAATCTTCAGTAACCCACGCTTGTCGTAAGAGGCGACTAACAGGATCGGTTTGACACATGTCATCGTATCCCAATTGCGATCGATCGATGCTCATGCTGTTGATCACTGGATTGTCTGGTCCAGGTCCGATTATTTACAGACCGCCGCAATACAGCAGGAATATTGCTGAGTGCAGCTTTTAACAACCGACCAACCATCTTATTAAAATGTAGCCCGGCACAGACCCATTACTAAAATTATAGGATCCACGTAGTTTATCTCAGTAGGGAATAGAAGACGGATTTTCTGTGTAACGAGTTAACGCTTTGACCACTTGACCACACACACCTAGACCAAGGGTCAGGACGGTTTTGCAGCAGGGCCACTTGTATACAGGCTGGTGTCTGAGGGAGGCTACCTTATAAAACACTTTCCAGAACTGAACAAAACCGTTCGGATTCAATATACAAAGCATTGGATATCTTAACAATGTTCTTTGAAAGCGTGAGTACATTATCATCCAAAATTGTACTCACGTGTCTACATACATCATAATTAATGAATGATAAAGACGTAATATTTACATGATGTTTGTTTGTGGGGAGAACGAGTGTGTCTCAAGCACTATCAAGTCGACTGCGATAAAAACGTTCAATGGACGCCATTTTGAATCCGAGGACCCTTTGACCCTATCAGTCCGTTCCGACTGCCAATGCAACCGAGCTGAAAAACACAAATAATAAACCCCTCTATCGTCTCCGCTTTCGTTTACAAGTCCATATCTATTTCAGCAATCAATAATGGTTTAGTTTGGACACTAAAGTCGAAAGCGAGACGAAAGCTGGCCCACGACCACTCGAAATGATGGTGAAAGTCTTTCGAATTCTGTAAATAGGCTAAGAGTACCTCTGCAAGCGAACACAAATCTAAAGTGATGGTATTGAAGTAATCTAATCACAAGACACTCTGAAAGATAGAAATCAGACTTGCTTCCGCGGCTATTTTTCCCCTATGAATCTCTTGAGAGAGATCTCGTCTGCTCGCTTACTACCACGAGGAATCCTTGCCCAGCTAACGTTTCTTGTAATTCACTGTGTCTCAAGTGGTGCCGCCTTGTAACGCTGTTAGCATCGATTCTTCGGAGAATCGCCGATTGAACAAGCTTATTAAGATAATTGACACGGAAAATGACGGACAGAGAAGATCCCGATATTAGAAAATTGATGTTTGTAAGTTCCATCTCTCCTTTGACCTCGACTCACTTCGACTCGCCCCCAGACATTAACCAATAACGCTGTGCCAATTGAAATTTACATCTTCCTGTGCAGGGTTTGAATCTAAGGTCTGTCTTGTTTTGTATGGCGTTAACACACTTAAACCTTTCGACGTTCGTTCTATTGGAAAGAAAAAGATTGGCGGATTTAGCAAAGGGTGATCGTTCTCAATATCTGTCGGGGTAATTGGACAGGGTGAGTGGGGCTCGCGTTTTACCTAATTACGGCTAGTGTTCCACGCGCGACACAGGAAAATCATTATACTGTTTAATAGGGGTTGGAATAAGGAGAATAATTTGGTCCTCTGAAACCCATCTGGTGCGGTGTATGTGGAACAACTCTTCAGGTCTTCAATTGGGTCATCTCCAGATCTGATAAGCATGCTGTCTCAGACGTAGCGCATGGAGACGAGGTGTGTTTTAATACGAAGTTGAAATTTGACACGGTAAAGTTGAATAAAATATTTGAGACTTTTGACACATGGCATATCTGTCAGAACTACCACATCTGTCGTTCTTCCCGACGCAGTGATGCAGGATGTGGATGTAAACGGGAAGTTGTGGATTACTGGTTTCATTTGAGAAGATTACGATGACATATGTAATCGAAGCAAAATGATGCACAGCTGAAGGCATATGAATGAAAACAAATTAAATTTTAATTATCAGACAGTGTTATATTTAGACACTGTGTTTAAAACATATGTAAATTACCTAAACTAAATAGCACGCAAGATGCAGCATACATGTACAAGAATATGTCACATTATAGAACTCGAGTTATATTGAAGCTACATCTAGCTCTGATTTTATAGTATTCGGTTTATATCGTAGGTACATGTACATGTTACACGATTCTCTGAGTACATATATAGACCATACATCGACATTTATCGAGGTTACTCGAGTATTTGATAACATACAACATGTATATATTAATATATGGAACGGGGGAGAATTTATTGTTGTATAAAATTAACACGGAAAGTAGCGGGCTCGATGACAGCAGCGACATAACAAAACACCTTAAAAGATGGTACTTGACATTTCCCTGGCGGTCGGCATTTAAGGGGACAAACAGGGCTAGTGAGGTCGGAGTCATATTGTGTGTGAGTGACTGACTGAGTTCAGTTTTACGCCGCTTTTAAGCAATATTACGGCGGGGGTACACCAGAAATGGGCTTAACACATTGTGCCCATGTGGGGAATCGAACACGTGTCTTCGGCGTGACGAGCCAACGCTTTAACCACTAGGCTACGCTACCGCCCCGTGTGTGAGAGTATAGCAGTGATGAAATTTCAGGGTTTGATCCCCTGGCATTTCATATGGTTGATTTAAAATTAAAATGTATCAATTTCCCAGTTGTATTTTTAGCAATGTCATTATGTTGCGGATGAGGTCATTTTAATATGTCATAAAATGCAAATAAAAACTATAAAATAATAGTTCATAAAAAAAAGGTTTTAGGTGGTAGTATTTTATAGGTTATTTAGTTTATTTGTGGTGAAAGAGTTCATCAATTGTATTGATGACAAAGGTAGCATTTCAAGAGAAATGCAGTTGTTCTGAGATCACTGTATATATTTAGCTCTGGGCAAGGTCAAGGTTGTCAGTCAAGGCTCATAGTTCAAGGTTGTGTCATGTCAGGTCATGACACTAGCAATTGTTTATCATGTGATCAGTTATGCTGATTTCTGATTGGTTGATTGGCAAACAATTGGCTCTGCATGTTACTCCTGTGCAATTAACCTTCACTTCACATTGGGACACAGAGATTGACAGGTGAGCCTTTTTGTTCTGGCATGACATTTTTACAGTGCTGGTTAGTACAAGTAAAATAGGTGTTATAATCCAATTCATAGTAAAGGCTTATTTTATCTTTAACTGTAATTGTATTGTAATTTCTTGTAGTTAATATAAATTAAAAGTAATAATTCTATGATAGTTTAATAAGCATTTTAAACATTATCTTTACAAAGTTAGTTACTTGCCAAATTAAATTATTACACGTCATAATTTAATTCATAACACATTATAATTTCCCCAATGTGTGATTTGTGACTGACTGAATGAATTGTTGTACTGTTTGTGTACTACAGACGGTAAGGTGTATGCCATGTGGTCTTGGGAGGGCGCCGCCATGCGCTTGATAAGCTGCATACCATATATATGTAAGTGACTGCTTGTGTATCAATGATTTTGCTACATGGTATTAGGCTGTGTCATTCCTGGTTTTATTCTTTGTATGTAACGTGCAATATTTTAAATGGGCATTTGTATTAGAACTCAATGAAGTGTAATGAAATGAAATCTATTGCCATTTAAATCTGGTGTATTGAATTCAATGTACTGAACATGACTTCTGTTATTTCAACATGGTGTAATGATTGATATGTTAAGTATGTCATGAATTAAGACGTGATGTGTTGAATGTCATGTTATTGTTAATTATATTATTGCCTAAATGTTCCAGGGCACTAAATTATCAGTACACATGCTGGATCATCAGAACAAACTCGCAACACTCTGAATAAAAGATTGAACCCCAGACAGCCATCTTCGTCGTCATTTCGCTTCGGCGAAAAGAGATATTACATGAGGATACCATGTTATCTGACGGTGGTAGCTAGCTTTATGAAACCGTCATAATTCTGGATTACAAGAAGACACGCACATGCAATCATGACGCTCTATTAGTGCAATCAGAGGCAATACCGATCAGTATAGGGTGCAATAATCTTTGAGTGAGTATGTTTTTTTTTAGCAATGTTCCAGCAATATCGCAGCGGGGGACACCAGAAATGGGCATCACACATTGAACCTATGTTTGAATCGAACAGGGGTCTCCGGCTTGACGAGCGAACGCTTCAACCGCTTGGCCAACCCATCGCCCCTCAATAATTTCAAACGCGACGTTCAACACCATTTCACTTGACATTACTACGACACATTAGATGACACCATGGTGTGATATTTCAGACGAGTTCTGTTGAAACCGAATATCCACCGCCTACATTCATCGTCATGGCTTATCCCTGCTCGATCGGGTAGAAAACAGCGAAAACAAGCTCTTTCCGGGCACAACTGTCTCGCTTCTAACACCGCGATCGCATAACATCCGGATTCGCTTCTAATACCACAAAACATAACATCCGGATCAGGAATAAAACGAAATACCAACCAAACCATCACCGCATGCTTGTACAAGGACATGCCGGTTATTTAGTTACACAGATTCTGTTTTCCCTCGATTTTCATTATGTCAAAACTGTGTAATGACAAACTCAACCCCCACACGCAAATGCACGAAACGCTTGATACGCCAGAAAGCTGCCGCCTTGAGATTTGCTGTTTGTTTTAACAGCGAATATAATGCGTGTAAGAATGGCAAAACCAGTCTTAAAATCATCATAACGAACTCGGCGACCGAACACAATGTTTTCCCTCGCTCGCAGATAACCATCGTACCTCGCCGGGGCCTCATTACCCACGGTGGCTGTGGATACAATCGCAAATTCCGGGAAAACACGAGAAAATGCCCCATTAACTGATATCTTCTTGCTGTGTCGACTTGTAAAATAATTATACGATTTGAAGATAAGAGATGCATTGCGGTAGCTTATTTGTTTTTCTTATCGACTAATTATAGGCAGCGACTGAGTTTCGTTTGTTTTGTTGTCCGAGTTTTGGAACCTTTCTTTGAAATATGTTATTTCGTGTAAAGTCAAGTTTTAATGAATACTTTTATTTTTCCTTCATTGTTACAGAATTGTGATGAGTGTACTTTCAAATTCGTATGTTATGTTTAACCTGTGGTTATCGTGCTGTTTGTAAACATAATTACACGTAGATTGTTTACTGTGGCTATAAGGATCTGAAGCCTTTCCGTGTTTCGAAGATGACTATTGCGTTGCAAGGCTAAACAATAAGCCGTACATCGTATGCAGTCTTTGTGTGGCATTTCTGAATTAATACACATAAGAGGATTTATGGATATCAACTTCTTTATTATCAGGAACAAGAGTTCAAAGCATGTTCTTACTGATCATCCGGTGAATGAATGTTGGGATGCAGAGAGCACACAGTAACATACGGTTATAACGAGAGATTGAGTATGGTTTTACGCCGCTTTTAGCAATATTCTAGCAATATCACGGCGGGCGACAACAGATATGGGCTTCACACCGCTTTTACGAACTCAAAGGGACCACGTAGTTTTAGTTCGTTATATCCGTAGTTCGATATACGCGTTTAAGGCAAAAATAGACAGTAAGTGTCCAAGACTAACATATATCCGTCAGTTCGTTATGAGCGTGTTCGTAATAAAAGTACTTATGGTATATATACACAAAGAAAAAAGTATTGCAACACCCATATCTTCGTGGTATCAACATGTTACCTTTAGGTAGGCTACCTAGCTTATCCTCGCCACATGCATATCGAAAATCAATGTATGGTGCACCCGAAGAGTCAAAATTAAGATACAAACAAACATATGATTATAAAAGGGTTTAAAATTCATAACTGTTGCGATACCTTTCTTCCATGCGTATATGTACATGTATCTACAACGAAAGTACAAGAAAGGTGGAAACCAACAGTTACATACAATTAATGCTGACTAGTGATTAGCATTAGACAAAGGGAAGCCAATCAGTGAAATGATAGTTTACACTGATGACATTCAGATCACGTGTGTGTATTTATCGACCCAGAGCCTCATACCACAAAGCGATCGTAGCGCTAAGACGATCGTAACTTCCATGCTTTAACATACACTTACGTCAATCGTATTGCTAACACGATCGTAACTTCCATGCTCTAACATGCACTTACGTCAATCGTATTGCTAACACGATCGTAACTTCAATGCTTTAACATACACTTACGTCAATCGTATCGCTAAGACGATCGTAACTTCAATACTTTAGCATACACTTACGTCAGTCGTAGCGCTAAGACGATCGTAACTTCAATACTTTAACATACACTTACGTCAGTCGTAGCGCTAAGACGATCGTAACTTCAATACTTTAACATACACCTACGTCAGTCGTATCGCTAAGACGATCGTAACTTCAATACTTTAACATACACCTACGTCAGTCGTATCGCTAACACGATCGTAACTTCAATACTTTAACATACACTTACGTCAGTCGTAGCGCTAAGATCACTCTGTGGAACAGTTCCCTGGTAGTCAAAGATATCTAACAACACAAAGGCGAAAAATATCTTTTCATTTTTTGTGCGGCATGTACAGCTAGGAATGTGCCATAGTCGAACCAAAGGCTATAGCCTTCGTTGCCATGTAAACGTTCTCGGATGTAAATGTGAAAACCAAATAACAAACAGAGTACGAGAAGCCGAAAGACAGGTCACAGATGAGTTTGTCATTCTCCGATACAAACCTGGACTAGCAACGGTTACCAATCTCCGACGTCAGTGACAATACTAGAACCTGAACACGACGTGTGATGCATAAGATAAGACTGAAAAAAATGTCTTACTGCCTTCAGTCTGTTGTGTTTTTGTTGTTTGTGTTCCATAAATCAGTTTAATCAGATATAAAACACAGCATAAATAAAGACATTGCCAGGAAAGCATGCAACACAGTGGTGCCCGCACGTGCCGTCTGGCGTGCTATGGCCGTAAATAATTCCAAGTATACCGCAAGAAACGTTGTCGGTGTGCTTGTTGACGCTGTTGACTGCGAGAGTCTTGAAGAATGAGGTGCTTGCGTTCAGGTGAGTGCTGAAGAGAATGAGTACAGTGAAGGTCACGATGACCCTAAACCTGCACGGGCATGCCAGGCCCTTTTTTGTGCCCCCCCACCGTGATCTTGCTGGAACATTGCTGAAAGGGGTGTAAAACTAAACTCACTCACTCACTCGAGCACCAAGGATCAAGTCTGCCAGAGACCCGTCCTACTATACTCAAGCCCAGTTACCACCGTCTTCCGGTGTGTCATATGTAACATATGTACATCCAATAATACCCATGTTATATTTTGGAATTCCAGATTGCTGCAGTTTCTGGATCTTTGAGAATGAAGACAGATCCTAAAGCTTAGCCATGTTAAGTTATAAGTCTTCGTCCCTTAAGGAACCGTGAAGATCCAGATTAGAATTAATTGGTCTTCAGTAACCCATGCTTGCCGTAAGAGGCGACTAACGGGATCGGGTGGCACATGTCATCGTATCCCAATTGCGTACATTAATACTCATGCTGTTGATCACTGGATTGTCTAGTCCGGACTCGATTATTGACAGACTGCCGTCACATGGAATATTGCCGCGTTCGGCGTTAAACAACACACAAACCATCCAACCCTTAAGGAAATTGTTTGTCGAGACGTAATATATGTCATAAGAGGAATATAAATGACACTGTGCCAGTCTTTTGCGATCAGAGAACTTTTTTTAATGCTCATGTATGAAACTAATGACACGGAAACACGTGAGGGGAATGTTATCTCCTTGATGTACATCATGACATTTATAATGAGGTAATGGTATTTATAAAGAGGCAATGGTATAAACGCAGGACTACGAAACAGAACGCATACAATGCATCTTAACACAGAGAGAGAGACTAACACGGGGTCGTCATTAACCAATATTAAAGCAGTTTCCTCAGGCGAGTTTCTACAACACCGAAAACGTATTGGTGTGAAGTTTTGAGTTTTGTTAAGAATTCGCCAATTTTCACTGAGTTTCATCATTTATTGAACTCATGACAATAATCTTTTCAACGTTACGAATTCGTTTTACAATACATCAGTTAATGTGTAAGCAGTACCTTCAAACAGTAAGGAACATTTTGCAAAATTTAGTTTAGAACAGTTGACAAAAGTAAATGGCTACATTTACACTAGTGAGTCTAAACTTTTGATGGGTAGTATATTTACGAATATTCCATGCTCAAAAAGAAACGATTTAAAACATAGAAATTTAGGGAAAACGAATTCATGAATCTTTCTTTCTCAATTCTAATTTTGCAAAACCTTCGCATTGACCGGCTTTGACGTAGGTCTATGGTTAGACTAAGGCTTAGTCTCTGAATGTAACATAATTTTGATAGTAACAAACACGCACATTTAAATTGAAAAGGAGCCCTAGGGAGACCAGAGATTCGTGTGCGCGTGTTTGCCATGCGCGGATTTATTCGCAGCATGCTGGCGATGATGAACTCTACCGGTAATTTAGCAAAGTAAGGTGAGCTAATCACACGACGAACGGATTTCGTAATAAATATTGATTTTTGAAGTGTAAATCATTTCCATTGTGCGATGAAAAATGTTTAATGAGAATTTATTGTTTTCAGAGGAATAAATGAACTACTTCAAAAGTAAATTCGAAGATCAGAGAAAAGGTCAGAGTTGAAAACAGATTCGTATGAAAGAAATTTCTAAAGCCTTGTAACAATGCATGCTGTCTGTTAGACTAACGCTTAGTCTCTGAATATATATAATTTTGATTGGAACAAACAAACCCATTTAATTTGGAGCCCGAGGGTGACTAGAGATCCTGAACCTGGGGAAATCTA